AAATAAAAAATTAATTATATAATAATATATAAAATTAATACGTATTAATTTTAATTTTTTAATTAAAATTTTAATTAAAAAATTAAAATTAATACTAATTAATTTTATATATTATTATATAGTTAATTTTTTATTTAAAATTTATATATCCTATCATATATATATTCATTTAATAACACATTTTATTTATTTAATAATACATTTTAATTATAAATTTTTACTTTTATATAAAATTATAACTGTAATAGTATTGATTAACTGTATAAGTTTTATTTCAGTTTAGTTAATCGTCTTAAATCATTATCAGATTCTGGGTCCTGCTGTTTCCTGTATGAAGAAAAATATTACTTATTACGGGGATGATAAATTTTGCTCCAAACACAATTTATTTCAGGTTGGTTAATTGTCTTAATCAGTATCAGATTCTGGGTCCTGCTGTTTCTTATATTTATGAAGAAAAATACTACTTATCATGAGGATGATAAATTTTGCTCCAAAAACAGACACATTTTAATAACAGAGAGTCAGAGAGAAAACAAATGTGACAGGAAGGCTAAAATAAGGAAGAAAGAGATATACTCTGCATTGTACAGACCATATTTGATATTTTAACAATGTAGCAGGAGAATTAGGGTACTCAGTTGCCAGCCAAATATCCAGAGAGTGGAAACATTTTCTTTTCAGTTCAATCAAGGATTGAAAATGAAATTACCACATTTGCATTTCCAGCTAATGGGTTTGTAGTTAGAGATGTCATCATCTCTGGAGTTTGTAAATGAGAGAGTGGCAGCAGAGAAATGGCTTCTTACGTGGCCCTGGACTTGTGTTGTTATGGGGACCTGAATTGCTTCACAGTGCTCACAGGAACTGCACCTTCTATCACACCTTGGAGGTCTTGACCCTATCAGACTCCTCATCACCAAAGCCTTCTCCTCCCCAATTCCTCTCTGTGCACAGAATTTTACTCTTTATATTGTTCTAGCAATAAAGTTGAAGAAAAGAAAACATGAAATGGGTTTTTGAGTTTGATACCTGTGCAACTTCAAGTAGTTTGGAAATGGTTCTTCCTGAAATGCATGAAAAGAGCAAAGATGAAGAGGATTAGTGATTTTTTTTTCTGGTTTTCTGTTCTATAAACAGAAGAATATAGCCGTGTGCTTACCTTCAGTCATGAATTTCACTTGGATCAAGCTTGAAAATAAGAGAAACAGCAAGCAAATCATAAGGGGTCTATTTCTGTGGCAACAAAGAAGAATTCGAGAGCTGCTCATCTTTTCAGGGAGAGGAAGAGAAATGTTCAAAAACTTTAAAGAGGAGAGATATGGGGAAGGATAGAGATGCAGAAAATAAGTAGGAAGAGAGCAGAAAAATTGAATGTAGTTGGACCTAAGCAGTGGTAGAAGGTAACTGAATCTGAGTTTCTGAAAAGTGTCCCAAGAGAAATTCAGTACTTGAATGCCACCTCCACAACGCAAAAAAGATGCATCTGTTTTGAACCTTGTAAGGATGGAACGTGGAGGGCAAAAAGAGTGCTGCAGCAAAGCTAAAAGCAAAGGGGAGGACCTCAACCGAAAGGGGAAGGACCTCAGCCTCGTTTCATGAGCCACCAAAAACCCGAGGCAAATTCACCATATGAACACAACTCACACACACACAAAACAGATTACAGAAGAGCAAGGAAAGAAGGGACGGACAGCACAGCAGATAAAAACAATATATATATATATATATATAAAATAGGAAGACAGGAGTGAAATAAAACAACGCAGAAAACAGAAATAAAAGAGATCACACAAGTATCAAACGATAGAAAGTTTACTAGAAAAGGGGAGATTTAAATGTCACAGATGGGATGGGGTTTCTGCCTTTCTGGGTTTTCCTTTTCCTTCCGATTTCGATCTGTCTCCTAAGTTTGGAGTTTCTTCTGTTTGGGGGTTTGGGGCTCGTGGGCTTTCCACTTGAACACGCCAAGAGGTCAAGACCCTCCACTCTTTAAGTTTACCACTTGGGAACAGAGGAATAGTATACACTTTTATTAATGTTCCCGAGGATAGGATACTATTTCAGGATGGGGATCAAAGGGGAATGCTTGACATGCCATGAATCATGAATAGGAACCGCAAGTATGGTGGGGGTTGGTGAGTTATTTTACTTGCAAGCCCCACACTCCCTGTAAGAGAGAACAACTCTGTGTACTTTGCTTATGGGTGGTTCTAACTACTTAATGGCTCGCCATATCCAATTGAAAAATAGCAGTAAAAACATTGGATGTGTTAGTAAACAAATGTTCACAGACTAGCTAGCTAGTCCACAAGCAATCATTTGGGTTAATGCCAACTATCGTTTCTTTACTTTACTGTTGAAAAAAGTTTCACCTCATGCCCTCTCTCTCTACTATTCAAAAACATAATAATGTCGTCCTCCGTCTATTTTGGGGTTAACAAACTGTCCATTGACGGTTAAATTGCAAACGGAGGGACGTTTGGGGACTTCTCAAAAATTTTTTTTTTCTAAGTGTGCAGAGTTGTTCCACCGATGCCACATCATCTCCCATTTTGCAATGTAGAAATCCTTCCCCCTTGTCTCTGCTGTTTGGTAATTAGTTGTTATACTCCCTTTTTTGGATGAATAATGGTAAACGAAACTAAAATTTAAAATCAATGATATAATATAAATTATATTATTTAAAATATTAAAATATAAATTTTATATTATTTAATTTTTATTTTTTTTTATTTTTTAAATTTCATAATATTATATATATCAATTAATTTAATAACATAACATAAACCACACCATTAATCATAAATTTTCATTTTAAATTTTCATCTTCCCTATCATTATTCTTTTTGGATCAATAAGTTAACACTGAAAATTTCATACTTGTTGTGCAATCTATTGTGCATCCGCGGACGTTGCCAAATTTGACAGCAGATATTCCAACAATGCTATGGTACTTTGTAGGTTTTTATAATTTTAGAATATAGGTTGAATGTTTAATTAGTATATTTTTTAAGAATTAATTTACATAAAAATATAAAAATTGATATTTATTTTTTATATCATTTTAATTAAACGATTGATAAATTAAAAGTCAATTTTTAATCTTTTAGTACAAATTAATTGCTAAAAATAAGGAAAAAAAACTCTTTTTTATTATACTATAGGCATTGCACAAGTTATTTCATTTTTTTTTTATTGTGATACGTATGTTGATCCTCTTTTCAAGAACTAATTTTACTCTCTCTCTTTTATATATATTTTTAATGTAATAATAAGCTACAATATTAATTTTGTTACTATACTAAACACTTATTTGATTAAAAGATTACTTTATTAGAAAAGTTTTTATTAAGAATTTAATGAAGAAAGTATTATATAGAAACTTAAAAAGTATTGTATAAAAAAGTTTTTAAATTTTGTAATGAAGTTTTTTTAAAATTTTATTAAATTATTGATTTTTTGTGTTTGATAAAAGATTAATATAAGAAAATTTAATAAGGAAAATCGTAAAGCAACCCAAATATAAGAAAAGTTAAAAAAAATTTAAAAATATGTAAAAAGAAAAGTTTAAAAATTAA